TTTCACGGTTAATTGTGTTTGTTTTTGCAATTAGTTTTGTGTGCCTTTTGCTAGTGTTGTTGTGCGCAAAACTCATTCATTAATTTGACATCGCGGTGCTGCATTAATGCAAATTTTTACACTCGCTCTTTTTTTAGCGGTCGCCGCCAGACGTTTTTTACGCACTGTTTAAACCCGAGTGACAATAATAACAATAGCAACAACAACAAGTTTTGATTAAAAACGTTCGTTCGTTCGGTTCGTGCCAAGCACGGCCAGCCACCAAAAACCAAAGCACTAAACACCAACAACAACAAATACGTTTTTTTTAAACGTTTTTGTCGTCTGAAAAAAAAATGACGTCAAGGTAAGTGTTAAATGGTGTTGGTGTTATTTTTTGTTGTTATTGTAATTGTTGTTGTTATTGTAGCTGCTGCAGCTGTAGCGTTAATTACAAGACCAAGAATTGGCTGCGTAACACTTTCGTTTCGTTTGTAACAGTTAATTTCATGAATTTTTGCACAAAATGTACAAAAACTGCGACAGCGCTTCACACACACATACACACGCACACGTTAGCAACTGATTTGGCGATAAGCAAAGCTATTGTTATTGCTGTCTGCGTCTGCACACACAGAGAGACACACGGACACAAAGTGCAGAGACGTTAAGGCAGGCTCACGAGTTTGATTGACACGCTCGCAGTTTTGCTGCGACAACCAGCTGAAACGATTGATTTTCGCGTACTAAATTGCTAGCGTGAGCGCTGGAGCATGGCGACCAAACGAGCCGCTCGCATCACACATTATCAGCACAGCTTTAGTGCTCTCTTTCTCTCTCGCTGTCTGCCTTACAACGTTCATTGTTATCAAGTGTTGTTGTTGTTAGAGAAGTGCTTGCATTGGACAGCATGCGGCGGAGCTTTGAAACCAGTTTTCGACGCAGGTGTGTGAGCGTACAAGTGCGTGTGCATGGGAGCGAGTTGCTGCTGCTGCCGCATACATGAGTACATGTGTCTCTATGTGTGCGTATGTATGTAGAGCAAGTAACAAGGAAGCTTCTAATCGGACTGTTAAGGCTTTTGACTATTTGCTTTTGTTTATAATTTCGCAACGACATTCGCACGTGTTTTATTTATATCAATATATTATGCGAATACTGGTATATATGTATATTATTATTATTATTATTAATTAAGGAAACTCTATATTGAGAAGTGTAACTTCTAGCCAAGTATCCGTTGCGAACATGACCTTGACCAATAACAATTTTTGGTAATTTTCAAGTTGATAATTTGGCATGCTTGATAACTTACCTTCTGCGCAAATTATTATCGGTTTGATCCAGCGATAGATTTGGACTGCTTCCATGATGTCTACGCCTGGTGTAGTACAGTTGTTGTTTCTGGTGCTGGTGTTGCCTGGTGGCCAAATCATCACGACTTTTGCTTAAACTGTCGCTAAATGGCTGCATTGTCCGTTAGTTTTTGTTATGAATAAAAGTTCTTAGTGCCCTACGACATGCTGCTTGTTAGGTATGCTGTGAAGGATAATGAAACACAAATTCAAAACTTAAGTATATTATAGCAAGGACACACACACATAAGCACACTTGTAAGCATTTTTATCAATGAACCAACGTGAAATCGATAATTTAACTGGACGACGTCAAACGCCCACTCGCAGGATGCGCGAATACATACGACATGTACATGTACATGTCTATGTATGCGTGTGAATTTCTTGTATGCGAGGGGAAGATTCGGGCACGCTCAGTAGCATTGGCGTCAGCCCCCTCCACGTTACGCTTAGCAGTTAAATCAAAAAGCGAAAAGCGCAAAACGGCAAGACAAAAAAATTACAACAGACGTTGGCGACGACGTCGACGACCGACCCACGCAAGACGTCAACATTTGCCGACCGTAAGACAGAGAGAGAGGAGAGAGAACGCACGCGAAAGGCCGAGGGCCGACAGGCGAGGATAAAGCTTTAAGCTACTGCGGAAGCGGGTTATAAAACATAAGAAGAAGACGCAGCGGCAGCCTATCAAACAAATTTCAAGTGCACTACACACAAAAACACACAAACACTTATCACAGAATTAGACGCACATACATATAAAATGCATTTTGCATTGAAACACATAATTATTTAACAGCTATGCTCATTTCCCTTTCAAAAGTAGCGCTGCTGTTTTGTATGCCTTTAAATGGCAAATTGCACATAAGAAGAAACATACATATACACGAGCGCGCGCGTATATGAATATACATACATATGTATATGTATTTGCGTTTCCACTTCTTTTTCGCCTTTTGCTTTTTGGTTTTACATTTTTTTTTTTTTTTTGGTGCCGTGCTTTTAACTTGTCTAGAACATAACAACAATAAGCAACTACAACGAAATTTTGCCACACACACGAACGCAACGAAACGCACACACACACACGCACGGTCTCTCACAGTCAATTGGAAACCTTACAGCGCAGCTTATACTTTTGTGCTGTTGCTGCTGCTTCTTCTTCGTTCGCTGCTTCGGTTAAAGAAAATCAATAAATTTTTATTTGCACTTTCCACTGCAGTTTTGCACAATTTTTAATGACATTTTGCTCATGCATATGATATAATATGCCTTCACTTACATTTTTTGGTTATTTTGTCACAATTTTTAATAAATGTAAGTAAAAACTTTACAAATACAAAGACTGGTTGGCCTTTGGTTGCGCTTTAGATAACGTTCCGACCAACCAACCGTCCGCACCAAAGGTAGATACAAATCAACTAACACACAAAAAAAAAGTGGCGCACGCTCAGCCTGCCTGGCCGAGAGCAAGCTGAAATTGGTATGTACCAACAGCGGACAAGCTGCTTTGAGCGGGCCAATTTCCTCCCTCAAAACCAGTTTGGAGCGCAGGTTGAACTGCGCATGTGCCTAACTGAGCGTGTATATGTGTGTATATGAGAGAGGGAGTCAGAGAGAGAGCGCACAACTGATAAATTGAGAGCCATGGGCAGTGAGCGTTGGCAAAGTCAGCAACCACTAACAGTTGCAAGCCGAACTTGTTGTTGTCGCTTTTTCCGAAGTGTGTACGATCATGTACCACTGTTAACGCTCTGTTAATAATCGTTACAAAAGCTGGTATATATCACGTTACTTTAAGTCGTTAGCTTTATTAATCCTTGAAGCAAATCAACTTTTTTAATGTAATTCAAAATTAAAATGAACTTGGAATATAGGAGTGTAGCACTATAAGATGTACATACATAAATTATTTTATAAATATTTATCTGTATATTATTTATTTATGATGATAAAATTATAAGATAGACATTAAATGATTATTTATTTTTTCATAAAATTAGCTAATCTTGTTCCGATTTTAATAATGTACATGTAGTCATCTATGCTATATTTAAATATCACGTTTTTAATGGCACTTCCACTGCACATTGTCAGATTAGAATCAGCTGCATTTTTATACGACTTGTATGTCTGGCTGATAAGAGGCGGCAACAAGTTGTTATACAAGCGTTGACGTTTAGCTATCAATTGACATTTGCAGAACAGGTAGAAACCCTAAAAAAAAAGAAAACAAGTGCAGCAGGTAGCATAATTTCTATGTAAACAACGATGACTCATTCGGGCAGACTCGCTCCCAGAGAACTCTCCAAAACCCGATTTCAAATATATTTATGTGACAGCTACGATCGCTGCTTCCCTTGCTGCATCTCTTTTCCTCTCGCGCGTCACATTGTTAGACCTGTGTTGCCCCCTTTTTTAAGCCTGTTTGTTCACTAACAACAACAACAAGATTCTCAGGAGGTCCAGTAAATTAATATGCTGCATGCGTGCGTTTTCTTGTGGTCCATTGCGCATGACTCAATAGCCAAGCATTTGCAGACGGACAGGGTCCGATGCCAAAACAAAGAAACCCATAAAAAACAAGGATTTCATTTGAAGTCGAGTACAGGTAGGCAAAGGTAACAAATAGTTTCTTAAAGCGAGGGTTGCTTGTTGATAATGATCAAAACTTGTTGATGGCGTAGTTGATAAATATTGTGTCAAGATATATATTTACACGGCTTTTATCTATTTGTTCAGTTAAGATAGTAGTTTCTATGAGAATCAGGCAGGGAACTGAGCACTTTAAGTGGCAGAGTCAATAATATTTTCTTATTGAAAGTAAATGAATAATATATTTATATACATATGTACTTACTCGAAGTAGACATTCCCATAGCTATTTGAATTAAATTTGAAAATAGATTTCTTCAATAGCAAAACTATTTCATAATATAAATTATAATTTCCATAACTCATTCTATTTATTTTCCATATAGACGTATATTAGTTGTTTCTTAGAAAATCAAACACCTCCGCCTGTTTTTGCTTTGAGAATGTTTATTTGCAACTTAATTACAATAAAGATTAAGTAGTCTTAAATATAATAAATCAACATGGCTTACACACGAAATGTTCTGCTTTATCAACGTCGTCTAGGTATAACTCTACGTAAATATCTAAAAATATGCCTCGGAGCATGGAGCATCATGCATTTTTATTCCTGTTTACATATCAATTTAAATTGCGAATGTTTAAACTTAAGTGAACTGTTGTGACATGCTGTTAATATAACATAACATTAACAGTGTGCTGTTAGCAAAGTTTTCATTGGCTTAACAGAGAGCTTTGCGCTTGGCACAGTTTGGTTTTACATTGATTGTTGTTTAGAGTCTGTTGAAGCCAAAAATGATTGAAAGATTTCGATAAGTACAGGATCTAACTGTCACCATTAAGGAAGATTTCAATGGATAGTCTTGCTTCTTACATATATAAAGTTAACAGAGCCAGAGGAACAAAGGACAGAAGTGAAATGAAAGACAGAGAGAGAAAGAGATCAACATTTTGGCATTCATAATGAAGCTTAGCTTAATTAACTTTATTTTATATTCAATAGAAATGGAAATTGATGATCAGAAAGCTTTTCAGCAAATGTGGTAAATGAGTTAACATGCAATTGCATTCTGTTTTTGGATATTTGTTGTATATATTACCGGAATAGGGGTTGGGGGAGCTCTGGCGCATGTACTCAGTAGAGCTTTAGGAATAACGTTGACATAAGTATAGCTACGAATAGGCATTTCACAGTTAGATGTGATGGCGGGGTACAAATCGAATCTATAAAACAGTAGTCACAAAATATACATACATATATATTAATATAGGCAATATACACATATGTATATATACATACATATATATAATTAAATGCATTTCGATTAGGCACAATTGAGCTAATGATTTTAAGTTAAGGTTAAATGAAATAAATAACAATTCTCCATTGATTGACCTGTCGAGAAACTCAATTGCTAACCCAACGAAATGCTCTCTCTAATATATAACTTATTTTATAATAATTATAATTAAAATTTTCACAGAAATTGTTTGTTTAACGCACTTAACGGCGACTTATGATATAATACGAGTACAGGGTGTCTCATGTCGGGGGATTAGATGTAAGCCGAATTGCATCCCATCGAAAACCCAATCGAATTTATATGTATTGTCCATCTCACACTACGCATTCTTGGTGGTTGCTTAATTGGCTCGGGATATTTTCAATATTTTGGTATAGTTGCGCATATATATAGTATATAATAGCAGAAGGAAGGGAAAATTCCTCAATGAGATTTTAATTTGTTTTACCTTTAGCGACTATCAAGAAAAACCTGCCTAAGGTTCAATATTTTAGGTTTTACTAACAGAAACGTATTTCTGATTATCTCTAAATGAGAAGCTGTTCTCTTTGAGCTTTTCTCTTCATACTCCTTAGGGACCATTTGATATTACTGCTTTCCAGATCACATCTAGCTCAGTTTAGTATGGTATATACATAGTTAATAGTTGCTCAGGTTCAGATTGATAAGGAATTTGTATATGCACTAAGTGTATGTATGTATGTTTGTTACCCTGTAGGCTGTCTCTCTCATCTGTAGCATCACTTTCGGTTTTGTTTGTTTTATAGATTTAGATTCTCAGGTACGCGCCTCATTTCTCTAGTTAACATTCTGAAATGTTGACATTTCTAAAGGAACATCGTTCGCGTTTCGAGCTTTAAGCATTTTCTTTTTCTTCTCTTTTGTGAAATTGTGAATCGGAAATTAGAAACCCAATGGCCCATTGTGTTCATCGTGTGGTTCGCTCGCCTCGATCGCCTCAGCTGCATCGCTTCCATTGCTCTCAGTACCCCCATTTTCGATATCATTAACGTCTTCATCATCATCGTCATCGTCGTCGTCCTCGTCACTGGAATCGGCAAAGTTGCGCAGCGTGAGCGCCTGGAAGTCGTTCAAGGCCTGCTCGAAGAGATCTATGGTATGTTGATTGGTCTCGATCACCTGTTGCGTGGTGTCCAGCAGATCCTCTGTGGCGCTGCGCATGAGATCCTGTATGGAATTCGAGTGCGAGGAGGCAAGCGAACGCGTGGCAGCAACACCCAAGCCCAGACCCAGACCCACACCCGCACCTGACTGCTGCTCATCACCTGTTGCACCTGCTGTGTTGGCTGTGTGTGGATTGGAGTAGATTTGCTCACCGCTTAGGTCGTTGACGCTGTCGCTGATGTTGCTGGCGGCCAGGCCGCGCGTCAGCTCATCCGCCGCCGCCAGTGTGGAGCCAATGATGTCGCTGGCAATGCGAATGGCCGCATCCCGTGCGGCAATGGTCGATATAAATGTCGGTGGGCCGCCGGAGGCGGCAGCCGTTGGTGTCGGATTGCTCGGACGACTGAACACCGTGTCGCTGGTCACCTGATTGCCCTCGATGCGTAGTCCTGCCACGCCCTTCTTGGGTATGGTGGCCAGATCGCGTTTGACGCGACGACAGCGCGTCGGCTCGTTCTGACGCTGCTGCACCAGCTGCTCCAGATCCACTATGTAGACATAGCCGGCGACGAGTATGGTGCAGGACTTGTCGCCCTTCTTGAAGGCCTCCTCAATGTCCTGGCTGGTGCGATCGTCGTATTGCCACCAACCTGTACAGTAGTAAGTAGTTTAAAGGGTTTTCACTATTGCTTTTTCGCCTCATGGCTGGATCACATGTTGTGTATGGGCTCTTTGATAACGGATTAATAGGATTAGTAGGATTATGAGGATGTGGGGATTAGGTATTAAGTAGCATTGTGTTTCAATCCGGCGACGCCTTTGACACCTGGCGCCGGCTCCGATCTCTTGCGTCGTATTATATTTCGCTTTCTGGACGGCTGCGAGCGCAACGATTGCGTCATATCGATCAGATCAATGATATACAATTGGCCGCAGATGAGCTGCTGACAGCGACTTGGGTCCTCGGGACGACCGTCCGAGCTGCTGTCCGAAGAGATTTCCTCGCAATCATCATAATCAATAGTCGCAAACATCTCCCTCCAGTTGCCTTCTAAATTCACACTTTCCTGTCGATTCACTGGTTTGCCTTCTTTTGCTCTTTTGGCTTTGTATGCGAGGAAGGATTGGTAGGACGTCTCAAGCTCTCCGTTGGTGCGCACATCATACGCCCACCAGCCGCCTAGGGTTTGTGTTCGGTTTATGCTCATGGACATGGATGTTGTGGTTGTGGACTAAAAGACACCGCCACCAAAAATGGAGGAAGCCACTTACCATTCCGTCCCTCGTAGTACCACTGATAGCCATCCTCGGTGGCACGCGTGGCACAGATGTCATCGATGCCGTTCACCAGCTGCGGATGGTCCAGAAACTCGGCTGGAATCTCACGACGACACATGGCACAGCGGCGATTCTTATAGGCAACGCCCTGAAAGCAGAGGGAAGCTTAATAAGTTTTGATTGATCAAGAGTTTTACTTGATTATATGAATAATGGAATTGGCAGAAAACAAAATTAAAAATTGTCTAGTATATAAAAAATAGATAGAGTTTAGTATGCAGCCTAGAAAAAAGATTATACTTATAGATTCTAACCTACATACACATATAAACATATCAAATTTACATTGGCTATTTCTCATGAATTTCATTCATGTTATTTACCTTGAATTAAATATAATTAATTAGTTATTTTACATATTGTTTTACAAACATTAAATGCTGACAGGGCCATCTTTAAATTAATTCGATATTGCTATGCGGAAGGTAATTGAATTGAATTTGAATTATCCAAGCTAGCGCAAGCGCTGCCAAGCAGCGGGCACACATAAGGGTTAATGGCAGCGGCGCAGCCTTGAACTTCCCTCGTGCGTGCGTGCGTGCGAAGCGTTGGGCGCACGCGTTTCGGTCGTGTTGACCAAAAATATCAAAATATCAAAACGGAACGCGACATGAATGAGTAAATGTTTCCGGCTAAGCAGCAGAGGAGGGAGAATCGGGAAGGGGAAGTTGTTTTGGGTGCGACACCTACCTTAACGCACAAGAAGCAGAAGATGTGACCGCAGGGCAGGCGGGCGGGATGAATGCACGTTTGTAGGCATATGGGGCACTCCAGGGTGGCGGTGGGATTGGATGCGTCAGCGCCAGGCGTCGCATTCGACGCAACGGCAACAGCAGCGTCTGAAAGCAAAGAGTATTTATTGCGACACGAACAGACATGCACCGACATGTAATGTTATTGTTTTTGTTTGTATTCGTATTTTTTTTTTTGTATTTTTTCTTTTTGTACCTGTTTCTATGTTGGCAGTTTTGAGAGCTTCGGCTGCTGCAGGCGTTGATGGTGCAGCGGCAGCAGCAGTTGCAGTAGCTGAAACAGCAGCAGCAGCAGCTGCTGCTGCCGAGGTGGATGGTGAGACACAGAGATCGATGGTTGGCATTGCAGGATGCACAATGCCCACAAATTGCATATCGTCGTCGTCGTCGTCGCTGTCGTCCAGATTTATGATGCCTTGGTTGGCATTGGTTGCGCTCTGTTCTGTATTATTGCTGGCGCCGTCGTCAGTGCTGGTTGCAAGTCGTTTCGACATTTTATTGCTTAATGATTTGCACACACAGAGACTGGAACCAAGCGTTTGCACAACGCGACGAAAATATAATTTGTTTCTTTCTTGTTGCTCTCGTTCTTCTTCTTCGACACGAAACACATACACAACTGTGGGCACCTTACAAAAAATGAGTTTAACATTTGCTGTAATGTTATTAACAGCGTGCAATAACAGAGAACAGCTGTTGTACATCGATTATTTCGATAAATATATTTTGAATTCAAGCTCGTTGCTTAACCAGTTTGAATTTTCAAATAGGATACAACAGCTTTAGGCGTTTTGTGTCTCGAGGTACTGTTGTATTGATATTTCAATGGTTTTCGCAATATTTAAAAATAATTAATTAATTTGTATTGCATATAAATTATTATATTATATATTATTTATTTATTTATATACATATATTATATTATATATATATATGTGTATATTTATTTATTGGGAGCAAAACAATTTTTGATTAATGCGGCTTGGCTGTTAACAATAATCATAGTGTAAAATAAATTCATTTATGAGCAATACAAAATTGACGAATATTTTGAACATTGCGCGAGCTTGAAATTTACAGTTTTTTACAGTTTGATATAATTTAAATTTTTTTAGCTTGAATTTTACACAATTTGACTGCAGCCCATTAAATTCAAGCAAAAGCCAATTAAAATTATGCGCTTCATTACATGCGACACCTTTTTACGCAATCGGCTAGTCCCCACATGCAGCACAACACAACACAACAGAAAAAAGTTTAACTTCATAAAAATTGACAGCCCTTATAGTCGGCAACAATAAAAATAATAATAATATAAAAATACAATAAAAAAAATGCAACTTCAACGCTCGTCACATGGCATCACGCACATTTTAATATGCAGTCAGCATGCTGCAGGCAAAAAAAAAAAAAAAAATGGAAAAAAAGAAAGGACACTCCAGGACACAGTTGTACGCAGCCCTTTTGAACTCATTACATGAAAATCAATTTTTGGTTTATTTTTGCCGCATGGCCAACACGGCTCTGCCACAATTGCATGTCATTTTTTGTCAATTACATCGAGAGAGAAAGAGAGTGTGGGAGAGAGAGATAGAGAGATATACGGTCAATTGCCTAATTGCGCGGCTCCCGGGCAGACAAACGCGTCGAACTGAACTCCCAACGACGAGTTTTGTAAATTACTCCACACATGTTGCTGCTGTTGTTGTTTGAGCCTTTTGGGCTGTTTAATGCACGTGCCTCACTCGCTGCTGCCATTTAAAAATGTGCTCGCAAAAAAGGAGAAGTCAACCATTACGTGCTCCGATTCGCTCTCCGTATGCAAAAACAAATGACAGTCGGGCGTTGCCGACTACAGAATACTCAGGCATGGTCCCAAAAGCTGCAAAATCCATTTTACGTTTTGCCACACCCCCAATTGCTATTATTATTATTATTATTATTTTTGTGCATATCAATAGTCTTTAAATTTGATGTTTCTAACTGTAAATCTATAGTATATTCCTCTTATGCCTCTTAGGCCCCTTATTAACCAAAACCAATAGACTCATTTTACTTTTGTGAATGAGTATGAAAACTGTTTAGTATGCGCCACAGTTCACCAACTGAAGAGTCATTCCCATTCCCATTGCCTCTGCTCTGCTCTGCTTTGGTTTAATTGTTCGCCTAGCCATTCGGGCAATTGAATTTTGTAGCCAGCAAACAAGTAAAGCAAATAATCGTCTGGTTAGCCACAAAGCGCAAAAGAAAGTAAAACCATTCAAATAACTAAGCTCAATCTTAATGTAATTATCACAGCAACCAAAAAAAAAAAAAAAAAATACGTTTATGGCCAGCTTCAAGATTATTAAAAGGGGCCCGCGCCATCAAGTCATAAGCATAAAAATATTACAACTCACAAAATGTTTTCACCCCACAGAAAAAAAGAAGGCGAAAAAAACAGCAGCAGGAAAAGTCCTTGTTCTTGTCCTTGTTGTTGGCTTTTGTCTACTTTTCACCCTCATTTTGCGGCTGCTTGTAATAAGCTACTTTTGCATTGCTCTTTATTTTATCATTTGACTTGCACCACCCAACCACATTTTATTATCTTTTTTTTCGCTTCCCTTTCTCTTTCTCTTTATTTTCTCTTTTTTGGTTCTTCTGCAAATCCCTTTAATCAAAGAAAATTGGCTGTTCACACATGTGAGCCTTGGGCTTATTATGAAACGTTGTTTCTTTTTTCTTTTTTTTTTTTTTTTTTTAGCTCCTAGTTAAGCTCTAATAAATTTACGAGCATTTAGCCAAAAAACAATAACAATAACAAATTTGCACAATTTGCTATTAATATTCTGATATTTTAGGTTGATGAAAAACATAAAATAAAATATAAATTTTTATGGGAACAGAATATATTATATTTGCATTTAATATAGGCTAAATAAGTTTTTTATTTCCTTAATTTTTTAAAGCATTTTTTATTGAGTCTATTTAATTTAATTTAATTTTTTTATTACTTAATTATTAATTTATTTTTTGTATTTGATTTGTATTTTGTATTTGATTAAATTTTGAAAATTTTGTATTTACGTATTATTTATTTTTTAATTATTTCTTAAATATTTTATTTGTTTATTAATATTTTACTATATATTTTTATTTTATTTTTGTATAAATTGTATTTATTAATAAAATATTTATTAATGTCCTTTATTTTATAAGAATATTTATTTTATTTTCTATTATTTTTGTATTATATATTTTATTTATATACAATTTTTTAAAATTCCTTTAATTTTATTATATTGATTTATCAAACTTTATTTTTGTTTTAAAATTTAATCGTAATTTACAAAAAATGCATATTTTATACGCATAAAATAATAATAATTTTTAAGTATAATATCTTATCGGGAATTGATTAGTCGAAAAATTCAATCATATTAACTAACAATTATAAAACCTTAAGAATTATAATTATAAATTTGTATGCTTTTAGTATGATTTTAGCTCCATCAACTTTTCTTACCATCAGCTTTAAGTTCTCTCTTAATTCCAACGATGATTGTTCCGCTTACACAGAATTTTCCGTGACAATTTCCACGTAATCTAAACCATTTCAATTTGCCAGTCTGAGTCTGTGGCTTCAAGCCAAAAAGCTAGCGCGACAAACCATCAACTTGGCTCGCATCTAACCATGCCTACTTAATGCGACCCTTGGCAGTGCGCCCACCTCCATATCACCTGACAAGTTGTACGCCCCCGCCCACCGCCGTCCTCTACGGGGTGTTTATTCTTCAAGGCTCAAGGCTCAGCTGCTTGTCACTTGCATATTGATTTTAAAGATTTACAACGGGCACAGCGTAAAGCCAGGCCAGGCCAGCCCAGGCAAGGCGAAGCAGCCCAGGCACAACAGGTGACAGTCAGCGCGACTCTCATAAGTAGGCAACAATTTGGGATACCCTGTAAACATGGTAGTTAAAGTTTTTTAGAGTTTTAGCGAGTGGAAGATACGATGATGTATATGTATATAATATTAGAGAGTGGAAAATGAGAAATAGGAGAGTATAGCTACAGCTGAGTGGACCGTTGAGAGCTGAGAGAGTCGCTCGAGCTCTACTCAAATATTTGTTGTGGAAGTGGAAGGAGGTTGACGATGTAGTCCTGTAGATTCTAAAGTAAAATAAAATAAATAATTAAAATATTATTGAAGGATTTTATCTATATATGTATATCTCCTTACATTTCATATTACTTGTTTATGAATTAATAATATTTTTAAAACTATTATATATATTTTTTTATTTTTTGTAAAGTTTTTGAATTTGTGTTATTGTAGATGAGAATATGGGCTCTCGATTTTAAGCTCCTACATAGACATAACCTACATAGACAACATTTCCTTTAATTTCTTTTATATTTTTATAAATATATTCCTATAAAGCAACTAAAAATTTAATATTTTAATATTTTAAATACTATATATTTTTATATATTTTATATAAATATATTTTTTAAATAAAAAAAAAATGTTTTTAATAATATTTTTCAAATTTTATATTTTATCTCAGCTAAAACATATCCTTATTAATATATACATTTTTATAAGCAGTTGCAATATTTTAACTTCAAATGAAATCAAAGAGTATTTTCTAGTACATCACATGCAGCACCAAAAAGTCTTCTCCCATTTTTTGGTACTTGCCGCCCCATTTGTTCGAGCTGTCAACAAGGTGCCAGAAACTGCCTTTTGGATGGGAGGGGGCGGCGGCGCCAAGCGTTTCGATTTGTGATTTTTATCGCGTTGTATTTGATTTTTATTATTGTTGCTGCAATTTGCTGACAGCAATTGAAAAGCAATTGAAAGCGATATGCCAAATAACAAGCGCAGTGAGCCAAGGAAAGGCAGGTGGGGAAGGACGAGGATAGCAGCAGGACAGCAGCAGAAACTGTTGAACAGGAGCTGCTTGGCTAATTAAAGCTTTGGCCATTTAACAAAAATACATATAAAAATAAAATAAAATACTACTTAAGCAGCAGCCCGAAGTGCGAATGGGTCATAAAAAACAATGCGATAAGCAAACTTGGGCCTCGGGGTTGGGGCTGAGGGTCAACTAAATCAAAGCTGCCTCAGAGTTCAACTCTGGGTTAATGCAACGTCTTTCAGGCTGCTTTGAATGTGAATAGAAAAGATGCAGACCGAGGCTTATCGCGCACACACAAAAAAAAAAAAAGGACACTGTCTGCTGTGCGTGTGTGTGTGTGTGTGTGTGTTTTGGGTAGGTGGTGTCAAAAACCACACGCCGCTTGGCTGCCTTTTGTCCTGGCACTGGGTACTCGTGTCCTTTTGCCTTTTGTCCATAATCTTTGGCATTTTATCGCCGTCCATCTGCTGATGTCTTTATTAAAAATAGGAAAGAATACAACAAAAAACAGAAGCGAGAGAAAGTGGAGCAAGTGGCGGAAAAAAATGCAATTTTTAGCCCATTTTTTGTGGGTTTTATTGCCAGACAGGACACAAGTTAAGCATTTTATTAGCAGCGAACTTTGCAACTTCAAACTTGAAGATGTCTGTGTCTCCTGCTGCTGTTGTTGTTGTTGTTGTCGTTGTTGTTGTTTGCCTCAGTCTCAGCAGGCGCTTCACATA